AGAGAGAGAGAGAGAGAGAGAGAGAGAGAGAGAGAGAGAGAGAGAGAGAGAGAGAGAATATCACCAGCCATAAGCCGCCGGGTGACACTTACATTTTGAAATTGATTGACAATGGGATTGGCATCCTTGAAATTACACAGATGAGGTTGAATGTTTCAACTTATTGTGTCGAAAGAATGTGTGGAGCATTCTGATCGCCTCTCCGAAGCTACCAGTCACATTTCTCAGCCTCTCCTTGATCCAGCCCGGAAGCTTCATGACGGGCCCTGAGGGATTGGTGTACCGCTCGTCCACGAGGATGATGGCAGCGTAATCGTTCGCATGTCGTATTGCTCGACCTGAAGGACACGGTGAGATGACATCGGATCCACGACACCCAAAGTAAGTACAATCGAGCACAGAGTTCACAACGATTCGGTCAGCAATGCCGTCATTGCTTCTCTTCTTCGTTTCTCTGTTTTCTCATATTTTCATCTCTTTGCTGTATGTACACCACCAGGGAACACTCACCAACCAACCTGTACCTCTCCCTAACCCATGGACTAGGTTTGCACTATGGTGTTGGTGCGAGAGCGAAGCTACACCAGTCCCTCGTCGCACTGATGTAGGGAATGACGGGCGTCGCCAGCAACGGAACACTGGGAGTGTCAGTGCCGAGCCCTGTGGCCATTCGTTGCAGGTCCCCTTCCCCCCCCAAACCCCCAGCCCACATTAGAGGTGCCTAATACCCAATATCATTGCTGCATAGCACCCAACACTATCGGTCAAGATATATGGTGGCCTGCAGGGGCCAGCAGGCTATCTGTAGATGGTAGGGCACCAAGTACGCTCAGAGGCTTACGTGAGGCCGATGGTTGGTTGGTTGGCAGAGGTGGGTTCATTCAGCTTGATTCATCGCAATTCCATTGCACTGATTGAGCTTTAGATTGGTTAATAATAATATGGTTGATTGTGTGGTTGAGTGAACTGTTGATAGACGAAGCAAGTGGTTTGGAGGATACTTGACTGATAAATCAACTGGTTGTTCTCAGCTGACTGATAAATCAATTGATTGTGTGCATTGCATGGTTGGGTGAACCGTTGATATCATGACGTTTGTTAGACTAACCAGTGCGCCGGCCGCAGCTACTCTTGCAGTGCAGCTCTTCCAACCCCGCGCCTCCTGCCAGGTCTCACGAACAGGAGAGGGAGCACAATCATCCCCCCTCTCTCTCTCTCTCTCTCTCTCTCTCTCTCTCTCTCTCTCTCTCTCTCTCTCTCTCTCTCT